AAAACGTTTGTCTAAACACTAGATATTATAATTAAAATATTACTTAATAATACATAGTAAAAAAAAATGATTTTTATGCAGAAAAACTTTAAGATAGAAAAGATATGAAAAAAATCTCTTTATAAAAAAATTAAGACATTCAATTTATTTTAACAAACATATACAACAATAAATAAAAGTTAACTATAGATTCTACAGAAATACATGGTGATTATATGGTGATTGGGTTAGAAGATCAATTATACAGCATTCTATATAACATATGCGCTTTTATCTGCAACCACTCATCACACACACGTTAACAAGTTTAAAAATTAATTTTGCATACATTAAAAAATTTTGTATAATAAATGTAGTTATACAGTACAAAGTCCGAAACCCAGACTCATTGGGATTTCGGCTACTTTGGATTTGGGGTTTTTCCAGATATTAGATCATCAGTTTAAATCTAGCAAGCCATGCAGAAATTATAAAATTAAAAATAGAAATCAGGATTTGAAATAAGGAAATATTTAGAGCTAAGGGTATCAAAATTACAAAAAAAGCTTATATTTATTGTTTACTTATTAAACTTTTTCAATGTAAGATGTTAGTTCTCATTTTTTGTGCTAATACTTCTCTTTAATTTGAGAGAGACATAATCTCTTGTTTAGCCCATTCGCCATCCTCTCCTGTTTGCGAAAATTCCCTCCCCCCCCCCAGGGCCACTGGTTTTGTAGTGTAATGTTGTTTTCTCTGTACATCATAACTTTCATAGTGGATGAATGTCAATGAATATTAAGTAAAATTATACGGAAATAAAGCATAATGGAAAAATAATAATATCTCTGCTTATTTTTAACAGTAGGATAATTTGATAACATCTGATCCAATTGATCCACTCCTCCCATTTTGTTGTTGTAATCTTTTACAATTATTGGTTTTTTTTACAGTTCTTTTCCGTGTTCCAACATCAATCATCGAGTCATTATGAACTGTACACATCAAATGTATATCCTTTTCTTTCCAATCACAACCTATTTTTCCTCTTTTTCTGCTGAGTAGATGTTGAAGCCCATCTCTCAATGTTATGGAAAATGGCACAAATATTCATAAAACCTGGGGCAAATGCAATTAGAAATAGAATGCCTGATTAGTGCTGCCCTCTAGGAGGTATTAAAAAAAAAAAAAAAACTGAAATAAGTAAACATTTAGAAAGCATTTTAAAAGTTTAAAAATTTTAAAATGTAGAAGAACGCTTGAAGTGTGTTACAACTGCCCTGCAGAAGTTTCACTTGAACGCGCTAGACGCATTACGGACGACGAAGAGGTTAGTTACATTTCTGAAGTTCTGTAACTGCTGTGTCGAGAATTCCGACTAACTTGTCAATCGAAATTTTTTCATTTTCAATAACTTCTTTGGCACTTTCTTCACTATCGGTAGCGGTATTTTCTTGCTCTAGAAACATATTACAGATTTCGCCATTCATTAATTGACTGATGATTGAGAAGCTTTCTCATCACAATGAGAAACTTCTTTTATATCATCTTCATTTATTACCGCTTTTCCACATTTCTTTACAAAATCCGTTAATTGGAAAATTTCACCTTTGTTATGCGATATCCAAAAACCTTTAAAATTCATGGCTTAGCATCATCAAATTTAGCTGTCATTCACTGTACATATTTGGCTAGGCATCATGAGCTTAGCGACTAAAGACAAGTTATTCTGTTAAATTTTATCTTGCTTCTATCGTGCACTGAGACAATTAAGCCTGAATTGTATTAGTTATTTATTATACTTATGTCTATTTCTTGCCCATTCTTAAGGCTTATCAGAGTTCTAAATAAATAAATTCTCACATATACTTAAGCCTTATTGACAGCCAGCGCTAGTTATCTTACCGCCTGATGCAGTCTCCGTGGGTGCTACATTCCTTGCAAGCCCTGGCGCTAGTTCTGGGTTTATGTGAATAACAAATCAGTTATTCTTCACCTAGTCCTAAATGTAATCTTTGGATCTATGAGTATCATCAACAAAATCTATTTTTAGCATACAGAAAGACATTTTTGTTAAATGTTTCCTCGTTAACATTTTTTAACGCATTTAACTTAAATCTGTAATCCCTGCCATGCGTTATGTCAACATGAAAGGTTACCATACACCTTTGTTATTCAATTACTAACATAGAAAAAAATTGTTTAGGCATTGCTACTACATGAGTCATTACACAAATTGTCATATTTTGATAAACATGCAGTGATAAAAGGAAAGTACTATAATAAATAATGATTTGCCAGGTTGGCGTCAGATCAACAATGTATCTGTGTGGAATGTTTCGGTTTGAGAAGTGTGCCAATTAAATACCCAGCAAAAGAGCCAAATTACTGATCATACAAATTTATGCTAAAATGACTGTTTTTTCAATAACAAGGTATTTTATTTAGTGTTGAAGTGAAATTAAGAATCGGAACTCTCCAAATCTTTCATTATGCATGGAGGGGGAATCAAATGCATATGCGTAAAGCCTGCTAGAAAAACGTTGGTAGTGGATTTGAGGTCCGGATTTTAGATCATTCCGGATAATAAACATCCGGATTTCAAACTTTGTACTGTATTTAGTAAAAGTTTATATTTGTTCTAAAAAAAAACACACACATACAAAATGTTTTATTCCTATGTGACTGATTGCAAGCATTCAATTTCAAAGCCTAGAATAATTTTAGATTTTTCACTATTGCAAAGTAATTCTTTTTTATTCTCTTTAAGTGATCAGTTAAAAAGTAAATTAGAATGATTCAAAATTAATTTATCCCCTGCAGTATCTGTTGAGAATCGAGCATTTAATTAATATTATGTGCAGTTTCAGTGGCATCATTGTTTTATTGTTTTAATATGTTTTATGCATCTGGCATCACTATTATTTTAGTCATTCTAAAAGTTGTCGTGTAAACAATAAGATGTACATAACTTCTCTTTATTTATTTTTTTATTTATTGATTTTTTTTTTTTTTTTTTTTTTTTTGTTTTGTTTTGTTTTGTTTTGTTAATAAAGTCCAAAATTCAATTAGCCATCACTCTGTTTGTTAATTTTATAACAAGTTATGGGTTTTAGCGACGTTTAACTGTGCAAATAAATTAACGATGGCTATGTTGACGTATTTGAATCAGGAATATTTTTTACTTTCGTTTACGATTTCAACACTTCCACCTGAACAGTATATAGGTAGTTGTTACAGTGTACTGATAGCCTTTTATTTTTGCTGCATATTTCCTAGTTAATGACGACGTAATATGGAAGCTAAAAATTTTGTTCACTGTACCAAATTTAAAGGTTTATCCAACTGGACTGATTGGAAATTTGAAAGAACTCTTTATTTGTGCTTAACAACTGTGCGGGCATCTTCGATAATTCCCTTATCGAGCCAAAAGCTCCGGCAGAAAGAGCGAATGAAAAAAGATACGCGAGTACAACGAAGCCACAAAAGTGTATGCAAAGGTGAATGCGAAAGCTGCTGTAATCATTCGCACAAATGTATAACCAAATGTGTTAAATTTGATCCATATGCATGGTAATTCTGCACTAGTCATATGGAATGAGATATTAAGTAATTTTGAGAAGGAGTCAAGCGTGAAATTGGACACTCTTCTGCAACAGTTTTTCATTTTTTGGATCGAGAAAGAAGAAAGTGTAATGCAATCACTTGCACATTTACGTATACTGTGGGTGGATCTTCAACATGAGCAAGAGTTGAGCAGCGAAGGAAAGTTGCCACAGAACTTCCTAGCACCACGAATCTTATCTATTCTTCCTGATGACAAATATATAGAGTTCAAATCACAGTGGGATTCAATGCCCAAGATGGAAAAATCACCTGAAAAACTGATCAAACAGATCAACATGCAGCTGCAAAGAAGAAATCAAGAGCTAAGAAACGAAAGTACAATAACATTTGTGGCAAATGCTAATTACAGCGCAAAACATAATGGAAAGAAATGGAAGAAGGGTGGTAAGAAACCTCAGATGGTCAGCCAATCCCAACCCTTGACAACAAATAATGCCAAAACAATGAACAGACTTAAAAAGACTGATGGTGTGAAAGGTTTCATTTATTTCAAGCCCTACCATCACTTTGACAAACAAGCAGAAATCACAGTCGGTAACAAACAGAGAATACCAGCATATGGCTGTGGGGACACTGACATGTGCACGATGGTTGGAAACGTACAAAAATCTGTTGAGCTGACTGATTGAGTTGAGTTGACTGTTGAGAATCTGTTGAGTTGACTGTATGCATTAGAAATTGGCAAAAATTTGTTATCAGCCTCAAAGTGAATGAAGTGAGGAATCTCGAACTTTGGTGATTCAGACGATTTTTGTCGTTTTTTTCGCAAGGAGACCCCAGATAATATACTTTTAGAAGCTCCATGTTTATCAAATGGACTCTTTGAACTACATGCAAAACCAGTCAAGCCTCAAGGGGGTTCTGCTGCTGCAGCCTACTTGGTTGACAACGAAATGACAACTCCTTTTCCTGAGACGACTGGCAATTTTCTTAAGACGACGACAAAATTGTCATTATCCCTTTGGCATCGATGACTTGGTCATCAATGAATACAGTATGTGAAACAGTACTTGTGCCAAAATGGTATCGATTTTATCAATGATGGACTATTTTGTGAGCCATATGTGTATGGTAAACAAAGTCGACGAACATTTAAACCAAAACGATTCAAAACACAAAAGTCTGGTGAGATAATACATGCAGACTTACTCGCATCTCCAGTCTTATCAAGAGGTGAAAAGAAGTACATGTTAGTGATTAAGGATGATTACTCTAAGTTTCAACATGTAGAATTTCTGCAACATAAAGACGAAGCTGTGGATAAAATCAAGCAGTTTCTTGTTCGACCAACAAAGATGGCATAAATGTAAAAGAACTGGTCATAGACGGCGGTCGTGAATTTGACAATGATAAATTGGTGACTATGCCATATACACCAGAACAAAATGGATTGGTTGAAAGAGAGAATCATACAATAATGAATGCAGTTCACACTATGATCAAGGATTCAGGCCTACCACAGTTCCTATGGGCAGAAGCAGCATCTACAGCTGTCTACGTTCTCAATCGAACCGGACCAAGTAAAGACTACGGGAAGATCTCCGTTTGAGGAATGGTTTGGACGCAAACCGGCAATCAACAGAATTTGAGTTTTTGGATCAGCTGCATTTGTACATGTACCAAATGCCAACAGAGGTAAATTAGATGACAAGGCTATAAAGGGCTATTTAGTTTGTCATTGTGATGATGATGGGTATCGCATTTTCAAAACATCAAGGAATGATATGATGATGATGTCATGTCTATGACAAAATGCAATTATATAGGTTCGAAGCTGTCAAAGACAGCTTTTTGTCAAAGGCAGCTATCAGTATAAAGTAGGTCCACTGGGTCTTCAATGCCGATGTCAAACAGTCTGGCCTGGAATGCTGGGCAGCTGAAGATGTGATGGAGAGACAGTGGGATGTCATCTGGGCAATGAGGACAAATGTTGGTGTAACTACGCTGTCCGTCTGCAGAAATCCTCATCTCTTTTAAGTGATTTGTCCTAAGTCTGGTTATGATAGTCGATATGGCTCTGTCACAGTTCAATTCCGGGATGGAGTTTCCTTTAACTTGACTGATTAGTCTTTGGCTGGCAACTGCATTGGCATCAACGAGGGTTATGCAGTTGGATGGCTGAGGATAATCACGGGATGCCTTTGCAAGTTCATCGGCCTTCTCATTACCAAAAATATTTACATGAGCCGGTATCCATTGTAAAATGCAGGATCTTTGGGCAGCAATGATTTTGTTTGTGAGCTCAATGATCTGATGAATGAGTTGACATTTGCCCTTCTGGAGCGCTTGCAATCCTGATCTACAGTCAGAGAAAATGATGACGCCCTTGGAACTCTGGTCTTCTTTAGAGAGATAAATCTCCAGAGCACTTTTGATAGCGACAAGCTCGCATGTATACTTGGAGGCGATTTTCCCAACAGGAACACTGTGGCATTTCTGCACTCCGTCTGGTCCGATGAAAACGACTCCCGCTCCTCCTCTGTTCAGACTGGAGTCGGAAGAGCCGCCTGTGTAGGTGATCGTCAGATCTTGAGTTAAGGTCGTGAGTTCCTCAATGGTATGGTCGCCCTTTTACTTGATTATTGCGGTGGGATCTTTCTTGGTACAAGGCTGTAAGAGATTTAAATAAATTTTTGTTTGGGGGAGAGGGCACAAAATGTTGTAAGGCTCTTTGGAAATTTTGAGTCTCATATTCGAGGTTGATGTCATTTCTGATATCTTGGTCATGTTGGAGGGTTGAGGATTGTCACACCATGCCCTGAAGGTTCTACTTGAGATATGATGTTCAGCAAGGGTTTGTATTTTGTTGGTAAATTTAATTGCTATTAATTTCCTTCTGCTCTCCAAGGGAGCGAGGCCGCATTCCTTTTCAATTTTATGTTATTCGTTGATGAAACAGCTCCAGTGATTATTTTAGAGCCCTATATTGAACAGTGTCTATCTTTTCTTTAACAGTAGGCCTTGCCGATGCCCATATGGGTGCTGCGTATTCTAGAACAGGCCTGACGATGGAAGTATAAGTATTCTTGAGGGTTTTGGGGCTTGATCCCCAAGAGGCACCATAAAGTCTTTTAAGGATGTTTAGCTTTTTCAGTGCTTTTATTGAAACATGTTCAAGGTGTTTAGAGAATCTCAACTCTGCATCTAGAGTCAGTCCAAGATACTTGGGGTTAGAAGTTTGTTTGACTTCAGAACCTAATAGCTTTATAATAGGATGAAACGAGCTTCTACTTTTTCTATCTTTTTGAGAAGACACAAAAGTTTGTTTTATCTGGATTAATTTTAAGATCTTTTGACCAGATTTCAATGCCTTTCATACAGGCACTGAAATCTGGTATGATACGATAAAAAGTGCCATTGTAGTGTTCAATGAACAGCAAATCGACACTACTTCCCAACCTTCAAAATTAGCATCTAACATCGGTCTATCAAACATATGAAGTTTATTTTGGAAGATGATCACGGTGATGCAGACACACAGGGGGCTGGCGATCTGTGCACTGATGAATGAATATGAACCAACACAGATGACTGCGCGTACATTGTGAGATCGTTCAGCTATCCAACAGCCTGTCAGATTTAATGACTACGATGTGTACAACAGCATTCTGAAGTTGGAAGAGCCTAAAACGTGATGAAGCAACGAAGTCTCCTGAATACGCCAACTGGAAACGAGCCATGGACAAAGAAATGGCTTCGCATGCCAAACATGAAACATGGCAACTTGTTGAGCCACCTCACGGATGTAAAATCCTTGACAATCGCTGGGTTTACAGAGTGAAGACAAATCCCGATGGCTCAATCAAGAGATTCAAGGCCCGTTTAGTAGCCAAAGGGTACACCCAGATGGTGAATATCGGCTACGAAGACACATTTAGCTCGGTGTATCGCTACGACACTATTTGAGCTCTAATTGCAACAGCAGCCAAGGAGAATTTTAACTTATATCAAATTGACGTGGAGACAGCATTCCTTTACGGTGACCTAACTGAGGAGATCTACATGCATCAACCCGATGGCTATAACGATGGAAGTAAACATGTATGAAAGATGCTTCGACCTTTATATGGCTTGAAACAAGCTGGACAATGTTGGAATGCCAAGTTTACTAACGTGCTGTAGAAACATGGTATGATAAAAAGTAAATCCAACAACTGCCTATTCATTCAAAATGATTATGGACATAAGATGCTGATGGCGATTTATATTGATGATGGTATTGTCGCTGTTCAGGACAAAGCAGCATTCTTCACATTTATGGACAAGCTCAAGCAACATTAACATTCGAGTAACGATGTTAAATTGTTTCCTTGGTCTACAAGTTGAATGTTTGAAAGACGGCTCACTCTTCCTGCACCAAGAAGCATTTACAAGAAAGATATTAGAGCGATATGGAGATGCTAGGACATCACACATCCCAGTACAGAAGTCGAGTCTCAAGGTCGACTATGGTCAACCAAATGATGACGGCATGATCAAGATCAAGGAGGCAAAGCCTCTCAGCAGTGAAATTACATACCGATCAGTAGTTGGCAGTTTGCTGTACCTGGCGATGGTAACCTGACCGGATATTGCTTATGCAGTGGATTTGATGTCTCAAATGCTGAACAATCATTCAGAGATTGATTGGGAAATCGTACAGACAACATTAAGGTACCTTCGCAATACCATAGGACACGGCATTGTGTACAATAATGAAGATGATAGAAGTTTGAAGTTGTTTAGTGATGCAGATAACAACTGATGAAGATAACAGCTGATAACAAGATGATAACAACAGCAGAAACACGCAGGTCTCGAACAGGTGTTATTTCTTTCTATGGTGGAAGTGCAATTACATGGCGAAGCAAGCTATAGGATGCCATATAAAATTTGACGACACAGGCAGAGTTCATGGCAGCAGCTGATGCCACAAAAGACCTGATATGGTTGAAGAGCTTGTTCAATGATATAACTAATAATGTCTCATTGCCCATCCTACAAATTGATAATCAGAGTATTATCAAGTACATCAAAAATCCAATGTTTCACGCACGCACAAAGCACATTGACCAAAGGTACATGTTTGCGCAAGATGAGTTCTCGAAGGGACATTTTCAATTAGGCTATGTCAGACGTAATGAACAACGAGCAGACATTCTGACAAAGGCGCTTCCAGCACCTCAGTTCCATTTCCAGAAGAAGTTGATTGGTGTAAAATCAGTCAATAAGTAAACGTTAATCTAAATGAACAATGAATATTTTTCATGCTCGAAGGAGACTGTTGAGAATTGAGCATTTAATTAATACTATGTGCAGCTTCAGTGGCATCATTGTTTTATTGTTCTAATATGTTTTATGCATCTGGCATCACTATTATTTTCATCATTCTAAAAGTTGTCATATAAACAATAAGACGTACATAAGTTTTCTTTCTTTATTTCTTTATTTCTTTCTTTATTTATTTTTTGTTAATAAAGTCCAGAATTCAATTAGCCATCACTATGTTTGTTAATTTTATAACAGCGATATTGCTTTGGGATTCAGCGATATTGCTTTGGGATTTACTAGTATGAAACGTTTTTCAATTTAAAATTTTGTTACATTTAATATTAAGAAACAAGTAATTTACAAGTTTTCAAATACATAA